CCCCAAAACCCCAAAACCCCAAAACCCCAAAACCCCAAAACCCCGTTAGGTAAAATTTGGCAATTTTATAAATTATAATTAATTGAGATAAAGGAGTAAATAAAAATGCAAGAGCAATTCTAAAAATCGACAGTTGTTGTAGCGTAGAAGTAAAACGAATTTAGAGGAGTTAGCTCAATTGTCAATCATAAGCCAAATTAAAAATCAGAATTTTAAGACAGGTTTAAGGGAAAGACATCTCTAATGAATAAAGAGGGTCACATTGGAATAGTTTAAAATACCTAGAAACCTATTGCAAAAGGAGGAGCGATTCAGCCAATTCTTAAAAGAAGCGAAACACTAGATCATTCTTACAGTTCATCTACAATTGGAACTATCTAATCAAACGATAACAATGGTGCCAACATGTCTAATGCTAATTATTTCAGGAAATAAGAAGCGAATAACAGATACGATCATTCTGGAAACGTAACAAGTAAATTTTACTTCTTTTCATAAATTTAAGCAAGAGCGTGCACCCAGGAATTCAGAAATGAGTCCTAAAGGAAGCATGATTCTAAATACCTATGATAACGGATATGAAAAGGCCAGTAGTCCTTTGATGAGAGTAGGGAGTACAATTACTACTCAAATTAGTTCACCTGGTTAGGATTTTCAATCGATGATGAGCAGTTCTTCACGATGAGGAGATTTCCTTAGAAATTCATAGCAAATGAGTAAATTTAGATTATTTGCTAATAATTTATTAGGTTAAGCTGGGCTATTTAATGGAGTTAGCAATGATTAAATGCAAATGAATAATGGCAATATGGTTCAAGGAGACATTAATCAATATGGATACAATTAGCCAGTTTACAGTCCTATGGCATTATAAAATTACAATAATGTTGCTGCTGCATCATTTTATTCGCACTAACCGTTTGGTTAGCAACCAGGATTCATGAATAGTTTTGGAGGCAATATGGGAATGATAAGAAATCCAATGGATCAAATGGGCTATGGATCTTATACAATGAATTTCAATAGAAATCAAATGCAACCGACTTTCTACTCCGAACAGGCTTTTTAGCAATAACCATTGCTATCTTTTAGAAATAATCAATAACAACAAGCAAACTATATGCCTCAAATAAATAATAATGTTTCAAAGTACCAAGAATTTGTAAATTAAGTAAACAAATAAAAGCTAGATACTATAAACCAAACTAATGGACTCATGAATCTATAAAATAATCGGTCCTCTCCATAAAATCGAATAACAAGGACATAAACCATAGAAAATTCTCCTTCAGAGTAACTTTAATTGCACTAGATGTCCTAATAATAGCCCGTTCGCAATAAACCTAATAAGGGTTCCGTTAGAGTTACAAGAAGTATAGAAGTGTCTACTTTAAAAAGAAGCCCTTAGTAAGTACCGGCATGACAATTAATTTATTTTGTATGATAAATTATGGTTTCTTATTCACACTGCTACAAATAATAAATATGATCGCTTTTCACTAAAACACACAAATCATACTTATTCAAGGCACATGGGGTTTTGGGGTTTTGGGGTTTTGGGGTTTTGGGG